GCCATTAGGACCCATAAAATCATAGAATCCTAGAATGGCCTGGGTTACAAAGGCCCCCAATGCCCATCAGTTCCAACCCCCTGCTATGTGCAGGTCACCAACCAGCAGCCCAGGCTGCCCAGAGCCACATCCAGCCTGGCCTTGGATGCCTGCAGGGATGGGGCATCCACAGCTCCTTGGGCAACCTGTTCCATAGGATGCAGAATGAATGCTGATGGAGGGGCTGTGATTCTGAGGGGATGCAAGGCTCCGTTGTTTTGGTTGTTCCACGGTGCAGCTGTGCAGGGTTTTGCATCCTCTGCTCTGCCCTAAGAGCTGCAGGGATGAATCACTTTCACGGAGGTTGGGTTATAGGCTGAGAACGATCACCAGCAATTAAAAAAAGAAAAGAAAAAAAGAGCAGATTGAGGGCTGTGTGTGAAGTGTGAGACGCTGCGTGCCCAGGCTGGCAGCGCCCGACCCTGCAGTGTGTGTGTGGGGTTTGTGCAATCACGAATCCTCCTAGCAAAATGGGGATTGGGGCTGGAGGAGGGGATCTTGTTTTGGAGGACAGGTATACCTATTAAAAAATAATAATTAAAAAAAGAAATCAACCCCCAAAAAAAAAACCAGCAAAATCAGCTTCATAAAACCACCCCCAAACATGAGCAATCCTGGGTTGGGCCCTGCACCTGACTGCCTGCAGTAAATCCCAGCTTCATTTTGATGCCAGGGGGAAGCAGTCCCATATCTCCCCCCGTTAGCCCCATAGGTCCCCCCCTCCCCCATCAGCCCCATCCCTTTGGGGCCACATCCCCATGTCTTCAGGTCCCTACAAAGCACCCCCAGCCTCTGCCCACCCCCAGGGTTCCCCCAGCAGAGGGGGAGCAGAGGGGCTGGGGGCTCCCGTGGGTGCTCACACAGAGATGTGGGGCTTCCCGTGGGCGCACAGTGCGACGTGGGGCTCCCAGCTCCGTCTCGCTGGCAGATGGCACACAGTGAGCAGCAGACGGGAACAGGCTGCTCTGTGCTGGGAGAGCTCTGATGGGTTTAATGGGGGG